AAAGTAAGTGTGGTTCTTAATCAGAAGAGACAAAACTATTGTACTGTTTGATGAAAATTACAGTTTCTAACTAGCTCTGTGTAAACCATTTTAACCTAGTGCCAAATCCTTGATAAGTGCTGCTAGGAAACGTCACTGGACAGCTCTGTGCATGCAGACAGCTAATTATGACTTCAGTGAAAACCAGTTTATGAGATTAAGTACACTTACAATGCAATTAGCTTTTGTTTATCATTTCTTACATATTCACAATGTTAGTGTAAGTATGAAACACTAATACTTTCCACATCATTTTAAAATCTCTGCTCAGAAGAGTCTAAGTCTATAAGGATTTGTACACTTTTTAATAAGAAAAAGGGAAACAATCAGTTTATAACCAAGCTTTGTCTCTTCTGCTTGCTTTTTATAATTCCATATATAAAAGTCAGCTAGATCTGTGCCTACTATAGCCACATGGTGAAAGTTCAACACCAAAATAAGATCCATAATTGGATACACAAAAACAGAAGCTCTGAAATTACAGCACAATGGGCCTAAAATTTGTAGCAGGGATAGCAGAATTTATATGTGGCTGTCAGCAGTTGCACACCCACAGAATCTACTATTAGCAGAAAAAAAAGTTAAAAAAATCCCACGTACACAGCCTCCTACTTTTAGCAGATCTAATTTTCTTTGCCCTTACAGGAGCCTTTCCAGATTCCCTCCTCTGCTCCAAAAGAAATACTCCACACTGTACAGCGTGGGCCCTATGCTGTACTGAAGAAATGCACACAATACCATCAGCTTCTCCCTTCTCCTTAGTCTATTTAGCAAACTAGAGAAAGGAGAGAGAAGAATGTTTAATACTTCACAGCTTCCTCAAAAAAAAAAAAGATTAACAAGACCGATGTATAAAATGAAAATAAAATTTTAGTTGATTTTTTAAATAGGACTCACATTTATTAGCATCTCATATTTCTGTGGCAGTTAAAATCCACATGTAAGGTACAGAGAGAAGATTGCTGTATCTTCATCATGCAGAGTCTCAAACTGCAGCTTTACTTACACCTTAATACCTTCACTTTTTTTTTTTTTAAATCTCCCTCTGCAGTATTAACTCAACAAAGCTCTGCATATAAAAATATTAGCAGAAGGACAGAGTCTCAAGATTTTAGCCACTGAACCACCTACATTCAATCCATTTTAGACTCTACAACACTAATAATTAGAGTGACAATTGCTACTTTGCTTAGAAGCCTCCAGATGCTACAGTACATGGGAGCTTTAAACCTACTGGGACAAAATAAAATCCATTTCCTGTCTAGGCACGATATACTGCATTTAACATCATGGATATGTAAAAAGCTCAGCCATGTTCTAGCTCTTCTCCAATGCTGTTCCAGGTGACCTGGAGAGTCTGCAGCCTGAAAAGTCAAAAACCCTCCAACATAAGAGGAATGCAGTTCAAGATCTCAGAACTAACTCTCCCTCATTCCCAATGCTAATGTTGACACTGGATTGAGACTACAATATCTTGAAAATATCACCATGACCACAGAGATCTCTGATACAACTCAAAAGAGAGAAACTCAGGTTCATCTGAATTTAAGGTCCTGCAAAGGACATCATGTACAGTTTTGTTCTGTCTGCTCTTTGAGATAAGATGAGATTTCCTCATTTGCTTTTCACCTTAGAAACTTCAGAAAGTCAGAAATCTTCATTTGTTCAGCTGAAAATACTAACAACCGATCGTTTGATGAACTCTCACTCTTTATTTGCAGAGGTAGGTCAGAAAGACATCAACTGCAGAGCTGCTTGCTTTGAGCAGCTGTGCCTGCAGGTCAAGGACCCTACAGGAGTCTTCTGCATACCTTTAAGAGTACAACCTCCTTTTTTAATGCTATCTATTCTCAGGAAGCAGATAAATCAGCCATTCTGAGATGCTGATATGATGAGGTAGAACTAGAAACGTCAATGATCTTCTTTCTACCTGTCCAGCTACAGAAGCTGAGATTAAGGAGCTGCTGCTCATACCATTTCCATGAGAACCAAAATAGCTCTGACCCACAGAAAATATATACCACTCTGGGTTCTTGTTGTTTCTCTTGAAGACCAGAGAGAAACATCCTGTAGTTAATTGTCTAATTTACTATAAGACAAGGAACACATGAGACCAAGGAAGACTCGTTAAACTGAACCCATAACATATTTCCTCACCTTTATATTAGTCAGACAGAACAGTAACTGTCAGTTAGCAGAGCTTACAAATAATGTTTTTAAACGTAGTAATCATCTGGATAACATATTAGTCCCAACATCTCTGCAGCAGCAATCCAACCCTAAAGATAATCGACTTTTTTCTTCAAGGTAAACCAAGGTACTCTCACAGCTAGACATATCAAAAGTTGCAAATTTGCTTAAAGATCTATCACATTCCAATTTTGTTGCTTCTCATGTTTTGAACCTCATTCTTCCTATTCTTTGCATCAGATGGACCAGTCGGCATTTTTCATTATGTGTACAGGTTATTGAGGAGAGAGAATTTGCCACAGGCACAATTTCTGTTACATGTAGAATCATAGAACAGCTTGGGAGGAAGGGACCCCAAGGATCATCAAGTTCCAACCTCCAGACCTGGTACTAGACCAGGTTGCCCAGGGCCCCATCCAACCAATCTCAAACACCTCCAGGGACAGAGCATCCACAGCCTCTCTGGGCTGCCTGTTCCAGCACTTCACCACTCTCTCTATAATCAACTTCTCCATGACATCTAATCAAAACCTTCTCTCCTTGAGCTTAAAACTATTCCCCCGTCCTATTGCTGTCTACTCTTGTAAAAAGCTGATTCCCTTCCTTTTTATAATCCCTTTTTTAATACTGTAAGTCTGCAACAAGGTCTCCTTGATGCCTTCTCTTCTTCTGACTGAAGAAGCCCAGCTTCTTCAACCTGTCCTCACAGACAAGGAGCTGCAGTCATCTGCCATTGTCACGGCCCTCCTCTGAACCCTCCACAGCTCCACATATTCCCCAAACTGAGGATCCCAGACCCGGATGCAGTATTCAAGCTGGATCCTCATGAGGGCAGAGTAGAGAGGAACAATCACCTCTCTGTCCTTGCTGGCCACCACTCTTCTGATGGCACCCAGGATACCATTAGCCTTCCAAGCCGCAAGAGCATACTGCTGGCTCATATTCAGTTTTTCATTCACCAGGAGCCCAAGGTCCTTCTCCACAAAATTACTCTCAAGGAGTTTTTCTGCCAGTCTGTATACGCATCTGGGATTACTTCAATCCAAGTACAAAGCCTTCCACTTAACTACATCGATCTTCAGCTCACCTTTACGCCCTTGCTTCCTACCACCAAATTTGAAAAACAATCCTGTCTCATTCCCCACCAGCTTATCAAATCTAGTATTTGTGCTCCCCAGACACCCATTAGCACTCCTGCTCTCCACCTCTCAAGTAGCACCTCTGTTCATGCTACGCCTTTGTCTTACTGCATCTGATGATCGAGTCCAGGATTTTGTCCATGAGAGTGATATTAGGGAATGTTATTTAGAAAGAGCAAGCAGGTCTGCCACTGTCTACAGTCCATTCCTCTAATATTTCTCCAGAGTCAGAAAGTGTTTTATTAGGGATGCATGAGAATACATCCCTATCTAATCCTTAAGTACCTATTTATTGACCTGTTGTACATCATTTAATCCCCTTCATACCTGCTAAAGTTTTCTACTTGCCCAAGCACCTTATAAAAGTGTTTCAGAAGTTCACTGCCTGCTGTGTAAAAAAACAGGGCTTTATATCATGCCAAGATGCTTGCCTTTATTTTGTTATAGTACCCTACATTTTTCTGGTTCTTTGGCTTCTGCTTCACACACTCAGCAAAAAAATAAAAAAAAAGTCAGAAATCTCTCAACTAACTCCAAGATATTCCTTCTCTGTTGCAATTGCTTGGTCTGAATTTGTTTGGTTTTTTTAAGGTTGATAACATTTGTACTTAACTGATTACTTTACTTCCATGTATTCCGAAAACTCATCTTCCTCCTTCCCCCTCCGCCCCAGCTTTGTCAGGTCCTTGTGAAGTTATTCACCATTAGCACACCACATTTGACTTAAGAAATTAGCTTAGCATCATTGTTAAAAGGTTATCCCCCTTATGTGTTACTAATGGCAATTCCTTTTCCTATCTCAACTCCTTCTTCCTAAGAGGCACAGATACAAACTTTTGCTTATTGGCCTTTTATCAACTCACTGTTCACAAAGTAACCTTTTCCACAACCTTGCAACTTTTTTTTTTTTTTTTTAAATCTCCGCTGAGAAACCTTTATATGAATCTTTGCTGTTCCTTCTATTATGGAAGGAGTGGGAAATGCTACCAATTATCTTTTTATCCACATAGCATGCAGGTTTCCTTCACATCTCTCACTCAGCTTCCTTAAGAAAGTGAAGCACAGAGCAATAAAGTGACCAACTCATTACTTCCAAAGGAATAGCAAGATTAAGAAGGGCAAGAACTTATCTAATCAGATACTTGCCCCAGCTGTTCTGAAGGGAGTATTACTAAGTTGCTATGGGAAAAACATGACAGCAACAACTTTGGTCATTGGTTCTACTTCAAGCAGCATAATCAAGACTGGCAAATAAATGTTTACTGTAATTTGAAACTTCTCCTATCATAAAACTTAAATTAGTTATAAGTAATGCTACATAAAAACAAAACAAAAACCAACCTCAACCTATGAGTGCACACATGATCATAACACCAGGAGTCCTGTCAAAATGTTGTATTCTTTCAGACAAATTTTAAGGAAGACTAACCAGATACAGCTCTTCACCAGAGCAATGAAAACGAATGCTGAAGCATCTCATGGATAAATGAGTCACAAATAGCAGAAAAGGAAAGAGATAGGTAGATCAGCATTTATCAAGAACTAGCCAGAAACCTTGCTAACTTGGAAAAAGCAGCAAGGATTCCCACCTTCCACGCATTATCTAGCTATAGAGTCAAATCCATCTAACCCTTTTTATGAGAAGAATGGTCAGGTTTTATTAGGAAGAAACGCATGTCAAGAAAATCTCATCATTAAATTAATTTCCATACAAGAGGCAGAGACCTTTCCATTTAATTTATGTCCATATCATGATTGTCTTTTGAACTGATGAAGAAAAATCATACATAAAGTACCCATCTGAATGTATGTGGGTACTCCTGGCAGTGAAAGGCACATGAAGAAATCACAGAAACCTTTAAAAAAAAGCTTGAAGAAAAAGTAGAACAAACAAACAACACTGTTAATGAAATTAAAGAAGTCTTGAGAAGAGCAATTAATTTCTTCAGTGGTTGTCTCTTATCAGCTGCTTCATTTGCTTGATTTGTTTGTCTCAGTTGTGATGTGCTCTTGCTGCTTATTAGCTGGATGACCTCAGCTGCAATAGCTGTGGGCAGTGGGAGAAAGAGTCAGGAGTTTATAATGCCTTGTCCTCCCTCTGAAATGCCAGCTTCAATTTCCCTAGGGCCAAGAGTTCACATGCATAGAGCACAATTACTCTTCAAAAAGTTAATGTTACTGTTGAGAGACAAGAAAACAAATGCGTTTAGAAAGGGGAGGGAGCTATTCCTGTGAAATATCACAGCTTTCAATGCCCATTGGGAAACAATATGTCACTTTCCATAACCAGCATCACTCAAAAGACAGATGCCAAACACCTTGCAAGTTCCGCTTCTTCAGTCCACCAGGTATTCTAGTGTCGTGTCCCCAGCTGACCTCACTATGTACAGTCACTACAGCACCTGAGTCTGTCTTGGTTGTTTTTTGTTGTTGTTGTATTCAAAACAAATTGTAATAAGACACAGTTGGTAAGCTCACACTTGATCTGCTACATGAAGTTTGAGATTGTAACAAATCTTACAATGCATCAGAGCTGTCATGCATAACAAACACTGCTTAACAAGAACATTATTATTTACAAGGGAAACAGTACTGAAAATAAACTCCTACACATGTTTAATGTCTTTCCCGTTTTTTCTTCCAGGTAGCAAAAAGGATTTAAAAAAAACAATGAAACCCACAACAAAAGACAGACTTCATGCATTGCAATAACTGACTTTACACAAAACTGCTTTTACAATCAAATCAGTTCAAGAGTTCTTCAACTGACTGTACATCATAAGACATGTCAAGAACTTTTATTCAGAAGGAAACAAATTTCTATCTAATGAAGACCATTTGAATCCCCCACGATTCCTATGCAGGAATTTAAAAAAATATTATGTAATTTGTTCTTCCATGACTTCTTCCATTTCTTATTTCCTGATATGTACAATATTACTGAATTTTAGACAGTAAGATTCAGTGAATGCATCACCCTACACACTCATCATTAAAAAAATGAATACCATATTAAAGTATGTTCAAATCTGAAATAAAGTTGAAATTCTTCAACTAAGCTATTTTATCTCTTAAAGTTAATCAAAAGACATTTTTGAAGCCCAATCCAGACTGTATTTTCTTGACCAAAGTAATGATGTGCTTACAGGTTGGCCCAGAAACTACAGATTGCTCTTATACTGAAAAGGCAGATGTGGAAAAGTATGGAATACTATACAGCTTTAAAGAGGAGAAACAAAACCAGATTGTGAGCCTCCATCTCTACTTGCCCCACACACAGATACTTCCCTGTACACAGCAAAACTGTAGAGCATACAGTCTTTGGATTTGGGACTAGAAGTACCTTTGCTGGGCATCAGCCTACACAGAAGGTACAGTTTCCCATACCCATTGCTAACGATAAGGAAACCAACACAGCTAATATGATAGAACTTCAGAATCTTCCTACATTATAACAAAAAGATCAGGGTAAACACTTATACCAGCTCTTCTATTGCATATTGATGCTTTCTGCTTGAATGAGAAAAACTGTATATGGACATTCTGTTTAGTCTGAAAAAAAGAAGAGACATTCTTTTGATAGTAACATCTGGTAAGAACAGCTAACTTTTCTGCTGTTCAATCTCATAACTTGTGAAGAACTGTAATATACTAGGTAGCAAGTTTAAAAGATATTTTCTATGGTAAATAACAGGAAGAAGCAAACAACTAATGCCACTGTAGAAAATGCCAGGTGTTAAGTCACCATCCCAGAACATGTTTAAAAACTATTTGGATATGGTGCTCAGGGACACGATTTAGCAGAGGATTGGTAGAGTCAGGGTACTACAGTTAGGTTGTGGTTGGACTTGATGATCTTTAAGATCTCTTCCAATTGAGAAATTGTATCATTCTATAATAACCCTAAACTTAGCTAGATTGTATGTAAAAGCTAAAAGGTATATTTTAGGTCTATGTGACAGCAGCCTCTGCCTTGTAAGTCCATCATTTATTTATCTAGGCAACAAAATGCACTTTCCTAAGTGGATTTCCCCTGAAATTATCTCTTAAAAAAAAAAAAGGGCAGCACCTATCAATAGTGAACATAGAATAAGGAAGAAGCAAGTTATTCTAGTCAAAGAGTCAGATGTATCTGCTTACTTTCAATTGACATTTACAGCTACTTTGTTAGAAGTCTTCAAAGAAATAAGCAAAATAAACATGGTTCTCCTTCCCATTATGTAAGCAAGCAAATAAATGCTAATTTTGAACACAGTATTTGCACAGTAATATGTATTCATATACTCACATTCACATTCTCCCACAAACATACATGCACACATATATAAGAAAAACCATAAAGAATCAGCAGGATAAACTTAGTTGTCATTCAATTTGGCACCGAAACTACAGTGTTGTAGACCATCAATGAGTTAGTGTGATAAAGATAACAGAAAAGAATGTTGAGGCAGAATAGCCCACAGTTCTCAGGGAATCAGGATAAGCTCAATATGACGATTTGCTGATGCTTGCACCTTCTTTTGACAACCCAAGGTAAGGATGAAGGCAACTGCTCTTCTCAGTAAGCTAGGCTGAAAGCACATTCCACATAGAACACAACACTTGTCAAAAAGGCTTCTTACAGGTACAATATTCAAATTCCACACTAAATACTACAAACACAGCTGAAAAGCTGTTAAGTCCCAGTGGATGAAGAGCTCGATATAAGCCAGCAGTTTGCTCTTGTAACCCAGAAGACCTGCTCTATCCTGGGCTGTTTCAAAATTGATACTGACCAGTAGGGAGAGGAAGGTGACTGTCCCCTTCTCATCTACCACTGTGAGGCCCCATCTGAAGTACCATGTCCAGATCTGCAGCCCCTCTATGAGAAAGATATAGAGGTATTGGAGCAGGTCCAGAAGGCGGCCACAAAAGCGATCAAAAGGCTGGAACGAATGAAGGCTGAAGGAGCTGGGCTAGTAAAGCTCAGAGAAGAGAAAGCTTTGGGAACATATTACTGCGGCCTTCCAGTACTTAAAGGGTGCTTATAAACAAGAGGGAGACAGACATTTTACAAGGCAGATAGTGAAAGGACAAGGGGAATGGCTTTAATCTAAAAGAGGGGAGATTCAAGTTAGATGTTAGGCAGAAATTATTAACCAGAAGGTGATGATGCATTGGAAAAATCTGCCTAGACAAGCTATGGATGCCCCATCTCTAAAAGTGTTCAAGCCCAGGTTGATAGGGCTCTGGACAGCCTGATTTATTGGGTGGTAACCCTGCCCAAAAGGAGGAAGGAGAGCTCACTTATCCATGAAACCAGCCTTCCTATGATTCTATGATTTTCGGACTCTGACTTTTTTTTTTTAAATTGAAGTCTAAAGTCAGTTTCTGGGTTAAAGACTGATGCTTTTTTTCACCCTTTGCTTTGTTTGCTTTTTAAGGTGTTCTTCACTGCAAGCACAGCTTTTGATTAGTAGCAAATATTGAGGGTGTATTAGAAAATTAATTACTTAACTTGTAAGATGTCTTTACACCAAAGATGTCCTCGGTTAATTTAATTTGCAAGACTGCCAAGCACAGTAAGATCATCACAAAGTTAATTTTCAAAATCAAATCAATAATGAAATATGGATAAAAATACGCATACATCAGTATGAAGTTAACCTAATTGACATTTATATTCTTTAAACTGATAGCTGGCACGTGCCTTTCCTATGAATATTGGCAAGTCAGAGGGAAAACATAAGATTTCATTGTCAATACTACAGCAGATTATTTTGACTGGCAAGTCAAGCTTTAGACAGGAGCTTTACTTGCAATACTGCTCTTTGACATCCTTTGATATGCCACATTTTTCTGCCTCAGTATCCTCAAAGAAATACTCCTCCTCATGATGTTTTGGGAAACTGAAATGGTACATAAGCATCTTATAGCTGAAATAGCATCAACAAAAACAGAAGGCATTCAGTACCATCTTAATGCTCTGCAGAATCAAATTTAACATATAGCTCAAAGATCAAATACAGAGTGACCTAATGTAGTCTGAGTATAAAATTTACCTTAAAACTTAAAAGGGAAGAATTACATATACTTAATTCTATTTGTCAGATCATTACTTACGCCAATGATTTACAGAACAGTAGTCACAGGGAGATCTCCAGATTTTAAAACAGTACTAAAGTTGAGTCAGAGCAAATAATGAGAAATACCAGAATCAAATTCCAAAGGATTTGGATAATTTAGGTAATGAGGCCAGCAGATGGCAAATGTAGTTCAGTGTAGAACAATGTAAAATAATTGGTCTGGGAATATGTACTAAATAGAACTATCATATAGCATGATTAAGAAACAGTATTATTTGTGGAGGGAAAGTTAAACTGTTCCAATCTGCATTTAAAAAAAAATAACAAAAGCAGAAAGAAAAAGGTCATGACAACATTAAGAAATAAATGATATAATAATAAATGGTAAGAGATACTTATTAAATTCTACAATGTATAATGTACGTGAACTAATTTCATACTCAAGAGATCCTGGCAGGATCTAGTTTAATTAGGTAACAAGATCAACTAGTGTGAAAACGCAAGAAGGAGAAGCACTCAACATCTTACAGAATGTGTTTGGCATCACACAGTATCAAATCTAAAGTCAGGAAAGTTCTTTGAAGATCAAGTACAGCAGGATAAAACTACAGCCTTTTGAAGTTTAAAAAAAGAAAAAACAAGAAAACCCCAGATAAAGTGAAAAAGCCTAGCCTACCCAATTAATAGTCAATATCTCAAGAAGAGACTTCTCAATCACATCATCTGTTGGGTCTCCTGCGTAAAGCCAAAAAGCAAGATCCTTACCTGCGTTAGGCACACCAAGGACTCAGGATTTAGGACTCTTCAGACAACAACTCTAATTACTTCACCATCAGCTCTTCTAGAGTGAGCTTCTAATTTTGTTCCAAAGAAAAAATCCCCTCCCTAATGCAAATTTCTTTTAGAAGAGCGGAAATAAAATTTTTGTTCAAACATGGAAAATTCACAACCAGCTACATTAGTCATATACATCACAGATCACAACAGCACATAAGAATTCAAACACTGTTCTAAGTACTACACGGTTGCAAATTTAATACAACAAATGGAAACGGCAACTAAGAGAAGGATAATCAGATCAGGTAAGCAGCTATGTGAAAGCACTGCAAGGTTGTCAGTTTGGGCACAAACCATACCTTTTAAAAGCTAATACAATACAAAGATGAAGACAAAAGAATAAAGCTGGAAGAAGAATTTGTGGAACACTAGTAGTTAATGACACTTTTAGAGCATTTTATCACATATGGCCACTGACATAGTTAGAACCACTTGCACTTCTCATTTTTCACGAGGAAAGATAACATGGAGATGTGAGAAGAGTTTTTTTTCCAGAGCAACTGACTATTATTATTAAATACCATCAGAAAACAGCGTAGCTTACCAAAGGCTCTGATGGATTCTTCAGCAATGGAAAAATTCAGTAAAGCACAACCACTCAGTGAAGCAAGGTGTCAACCCAAGAGATCCTGTAAGGAAGAGACAAGGTTATTTTAACTGCTTATTCTATCCCCAGTACATATGAGCATACACAGGGTTATTAGGTTAATTTCTTTTTTAAGCATGTTTATTTAAAAGAAAACTGCAAAAGGGCTGTAAAAAAAGAAACAGATGACAGATTAAGATACCACTAAATATAAGAAAGCAAATTCCTAATCCTAAGCTATCTCTTAGCCTTATAATAAAACAAGGAAGTTCTTCCTTTACACCATTAATTCTCTCTTTTTCATCTTAACCTGCTTACCTTATTTTGTACTGGAGCTATCATATGAAAGTGCTTTGAGTGCTTTTCTTTGATTGTACTGGCAAAGAAATATAAACCATTACCTATCATTACCTTTATTTCAAACCTGTCACTTTTTCCTCTTTGTAGCCAGCAAGCTGCAAGAGGAGGAAAAAAAATGCAGTCTGAGCATAAAACCTCCCTTACAAAAACGAGCTGAAAGAAGAGTGGAACAAAGGAGAGAGAGTTAAGAAAGGAAGAGATCACAGTCTTGATAAACCTGCTCTTCTGCACAAAATACATTCTACTCTCCTATCAAAAAACCTCTAAAATACAACATACACTGGAGAGCTGGTTTCTGCCCATGGTTCTCTCTCCTGCCACACATTGTACTTAAAATACCTCTATAATTCCACAAGTATTATGCAAATAAAAGTAATACTGACACCACTGCCCGATGCATGGAAAAACATATGTAAATAGCGCATGAGAGAAGATGCGCTTCCCTCAAAACTGTATTTTTCACAAGGTGCTTTTCAGCAAACCCTTCATGAACCACACAGTGAGCCATGAGCAATTAATTTTAATTAAGTGCCCCCCTCTAACTATAATGTTGCCAGTGACATGTTAATGACCTCAGAATGCACTTGGATTTGAAGTTTTTCCCCCCGAAGTACATGCCAAGCTGCCTTACCTCTATAAAGCTGCAGCATGCTCCAGCTGCTACTGCATATGTATGGAATGCCATTTCAATTTGCAGTAACATACACATTCACCAAACACTCAAGTAAAGTAACCATCTTACAAGAGCACTGGAGATATAGCTAAAAAATACCAGTAAGATCTGACTCACCTGCATGAAACCCCACACAAGCTACATGCAACGTATAGCACATAGCATAAATTGATGATGTTACTGACAGGCAGACTATCACAAAGGCAGCCAAGTTAATGCAGCAGAAACATTCCATAAGTTTTTCCTGAACTCTTGTGTCCTGGGCTTGTAGTGAGTCTGTCTATTTACTTACCAGTAAATAAGAACTATACATAAAAAGTCAATCTTCCCCCAGTATAACACTAACAGGCTAACATCACATCTACAGTGTTCCACCTCTCCCACAAGGTGCATTAGTAGGAGGCAGCATGAATATAAAATATTAGTTATCCATGTACTCTGCCAGTATAATGGCAAAGGAAATAAAGTAAATAGGCACAGAGCAGCATTTACAGTAATTCCTAATTTTACTATTAGATCTCTATAGACTAAACTGCAAACCATTACCTCACAGTTTCAACTTAGCTTATATGTATAAGATAAAGAAAATCCAACAAATCCAGAGGGATAGGTTGACATATGCGAATATCCTTTGAAAGCAAACACCTCTGAAAAATCCTAAATAAACAAGTTCAATTAATTTACAGGAAATGACGAACTTCAGTAATGCCTGACAACTTTTGTCTCCAAAAGCAACCAAAAAAGGAAGACAACATCCAGGATACTTTCTCAGAGGATCTGCTGTGACTGGTATATTACTGGAAAGCTGAAAGAATTATCTTTTTCTTTCAGGTTTCATTATGTTTGTAATACTTCCTTCCTAACCTGTCTTAGGAATAATCTAGTGCAGTTAAAACACAAGACAAGTCAGTCTGGACTTCTGATTTCAGGGAATTTGAGGACAGGTGAAGATATTTCTATTGCTTTTCCACAATGTAGCTAACAGCAGAGACAAGAGTGCTAGGATGCAGGGAGGTTCTGTGTCTGCAATAATGCAAAGCTCAAAGAAAAGCCATTCTAAGAGCACAGATGCAGCCAGGTTGTCTGGAGAACAAACCAGAAGGTTAAAGCAGAGAAAAGTTATGATGGTAGCAGTAAACATTTATTGGAGCTAATATACAGTATTTCACAGCTGCTTAAAAAAAGAACAGCCCAACACTGGCTAGCTAAATAGTAAATCTAGAGTTAATAATGACACGGTGCATTCTAACTAGAATAAGATTCACAGTTGAATTGTATTTGTATTTTATTGTTAATATCTTATTTTATGTTTATTTCAAACACATGAACACACTCACTGAATGTTTTTTCACCCAGGTAAATTCGCACACTAAAAAATAAAACAGAAGTTCATTTCAGTGCTTGGATCCAAAAGAAATCACTAAGAGTCAGAGAAAACACTCCTGCTCAGATGTGCAGAGGAAAATACTTGGGGGTGGGAAGAGAATGGAGAAAGGGGAGAGGGAAAAAGCACTCCTAAGAGCACAAAGTCTGTAATGTTGTCACTACTGCACAGTTTGCAATTGGTTCATATTATGATTTGATGCTACACGTGAAACTGTTCACATAGAGCTATAGTAAAAATGCATCCTGCTACAGATTGAAGTACTCTATTTCCATAGAGAAAGGGCAAAATTCAGGAAGCGTATCAAGCTATCGTCTGCTGAATTACATATAGTCAGAATGTATCAAATCATCTTATTACTACCATTAGCTCATTTGAATCACAATCACACCCATAGTCCAGGGGATGATTTCAGAGATTCCATCAGGGCTCCAGAGGATTCAGAATCTAAGGCAGCAACCAACATACACAGCAGAGGTGGAAGAATACTGGGAGAATATGAGGAGTCTTTCTCCGCCAGCAAACTATCCAGCTAAAAATTAAGAACTACTTCACATAAGACTTGAATGATCCCAGGCTTTGAGAAAAAATTTATCATCTATTCATAAACATTCCCCTTTAAAGAACAGTATATGAGGGAATAGAAACCAACTCAAAATCTAAGAGGGCTCTAAAATAGATCTGTGCTTTCATCGTGCATGGCCATGAAACTAAAATATCTGATAAATACATATCTAACGTGCTGAGATTAAAGAAGAGCATGAGACTAATCAGCACTTGAGAATATACTTTCAAGGGGATCCACTAAGTGGCCCATCTGTATCTGCAACACACTTGCGCTTTCCCTTGTCTGCAGATTGTGATACAGAATGCTGGACTTACAGGTAGCAGTCAAATTGACTAGTTTTTTCTGGTACTTGGGTTCATGCAGAAACAGGAACATTAACACACCGCCCTACAAATGAAAGCCCGCAAATGGATGGAATGTAAATGACATGCATGATTGTTTCCTGCTGTGCATAACTCGTGAAGAGTATACAGTAAGTCTCTCCAACAACTTGCCTCATTTGAAGACAAGATATTAGCAGAGTTCCTAGTGAGACTAGGGAGAAAAGTTATGCGCCTATTCTTCTCTGTTACAACCATGAGTTTTACAGCTTGGTTATTAGGCGAGAGGGGAAAAACAAACAAAAATAAAACCCACACAAAAACCCTATAACATACCACCAAATAGCATTAGCTTCTCTTCCTGCAGCCTTCAATCTTTGGGAGGCTTGCAAACAGTATGCAAACAAGCGTTTTAGAGGATGGAAAAGAAAGCAATAAATATAATCCCTCTCATTGTTCATGTTGCTATGGTATCTGCACAACAAGCCATCCTGTTAAGCACTGTATAAATGAAGATAAAGATGAAGAAAGGTAGGAAAAACATCTATGCTACCACAAAAGACAATTACCACTTCAGTAAGAGACAAGGGAGGAAAGAAAAAGGGATAATATTGGACAGTATGAAGAACAGTTATTTCAGTGCAATACAGCTTACCTGTTGGTAAGCTTCTGGCAGCAACAATGTTTTAGAAAGGTTCTGAAGAAGGACTATTTGCAGCCTGGGACCTGCACATCAGATAAGTCATAGCACAAAAGAGAAGCATTAAAAGCTTAAGTGAGGTGACAGTGATGGGAAACTGAAGGCAGGAATAAAAATTAAAATACTGTCAGAGATGTGACAGGTGAGAGAATAAGAACTTTAAAAACAAGAGACAAAGATCTTACATGCAATGCAACAGGGTAGATGGAGCTAGCTGATAGAGCCAAGGAAAGAAGCAACATTGGTCAAACAGAGAAAGTCAAACTTGAAGTAAAAGACTGATAAATCTTGGCTGACTAGAGAACCTAGCAACCACCCCAGAGAAAAATGCAGGAATGTCACTAAACCAAGGACTACAGATAACACACATGGCTTATCAAAATTTCAACTGTGTTTTCTAAAGACATTAATAAAGAATAACAAAAGAGAAAAGACAATCACTTGCCAGCTTCCATATAGATCACTCTGAAAGTAATGCCTCCAGTTTATCCCCACGGAAAGTACAACAGAGAGAAAGAGCACAATAAGACTATTTGTTAGAGCAAATTCTCAGCTACAAAGCTATTTTTCAGTTACCATCATTCATTAGGCATTTTCATCAATAATGAACAAGAGCCTGCATGACACACTTGTAAAAAAAACTGCCAGAGGTGACCCACTGTTTCACACCTGCTATTGCTGCATTGCTGCTGAAACACCACTCATCACCTCATTGTGCTCACATCCACTGTGTCTCCTCAACAAACATGCAGGAAGTGTTGATCAATGTCAGTGGGTGCAATATTCTCTTAATGGAGGAATTCAGTGACACACCATGGCTTCATATGCATCTCCATGCCAGGCACCGATTTGGCAGACCGCCCTTCTGCTGCCATCTGTCACATGGCAAAGAAGTGTAATGGAACAGTGATGGAAGGTTCAACTTCTACAGCCATACCACAAATGCCAACCTCTGAGGTCAGACCAATGTAATAAAATAGGAGGCACTACTTTCCAAGCAGCCATCATACAGCCAAGATCATTATCTGGGCTTTATGC